ACAAGGATATCTTGCAATATTATTAAATAATAATGTTGTACTAACATCCTTGAAGATACTAGATACTATCACAAAACATTACTCTGAACACTGGGCTATTTGTGCTATGCCAACCACATGTATCGAAACGTGATTTTTACTGCTGAGCCACTGTGGGCCAACTGCTGAGCTATCGTGGAAGGGCTTTATTGTGGGGAATGCTATATTAACTCATATTTTGTCAATTTACTGACTTGTGTCTGGTTAAAAATACCAACATATTGTGGGTAACTTCACTCAACATGAAATAAAAAATTTGTTCACCCAAAACTGGTCCAAAGTGTATTTAGTGGGAAGTAATTTTCATAAAATAAAAGTATTCGTTATTACGTCATCGAGTCACTTTACTATGCTTGAATTTTGGGGAATTATGAATTGAAGTTCTCCAAATGACCTCAGTAACAATATTACTAGTAATGGGATATCTCTAAAAATCAATAAAAAGATTTATCCCTAGTTCCCGTAATTACTTTTTTACTTATTTGACATTAATATTGTTTGTTAGTTACAATTTACAAATTTACAAAAAAGGAATCTTCAATAGCAGCAGCACTTGAAATTCACTTAGGCAGGATTAGAGTAAATTAATCTATGATACCTTTGTTTCCATTTTTATTAGCTATATTTTTTAGTGCGCCAACAATTCCAAGCATGGGGCGCTCGTTTACCCGATTCAATTTTATTACTCATCAGGATCTCTACGATCCTACCCTCAAATTGAAATGCTTTTAGGCAGGATTAGAGTAAAGTAATCTGTGAGATCTTGGGCGTCGTTAAATGCATCAATCGAAACGGTTTTACCTCCTGAATTGAAAACTGTAATTAGATCTAAAATTGGTCAAGAGATGGCGGAGCTATGAGCCAAAAATTTGTGCTTAGAAAAAAAAAAAAAACTCAGAGCCGTTCTATGAGCCGCTCAGCCGCGGCTAAAAATATTAATCTTTAACCAAATTCTGATTTGTCATTGACTTAAATAAAATTGTTAATAACTACATTTCATTTATCTAATCTAGTTCACGCCATATCATTTGTTGCTCGTAGCATTGATAATACAATTAAATTCTAGACCACACTATATCTGACGTATACCATTCGGCCGGATGAGACTTGATATTAACGAAAGGCCTCTTCGGCACTGGATATGGAGATATAATGTTGTTGATATATAATAACATATACTTCTTTGCTTTCATTCATAAGCTTTTTGAATTACTCTAGTTTTCTTTCGTTGATGCTACGGTTACTCGACTTGTTTCTGGAACAAGAAGACTAACTTGCTGGTTCGTCAGTTCTTCTGAATAATGATAAAGTTAATTCAAGTATAAATATAATAATAATAAATAATTCTTTTTAAAACATAAATAATATCGTGTTACTAATCTTTGTTTGAGTTCTGATTTGTAAATGAATTTATAAAAATCTTAATAATTACACTACATTTACTTAATCTACTTCACCCCAAAACAATTGTTGTTTGTGCGAATAATGATGTGTCTGTTGTATTCCAGCTGGCTTGATGAGCCCTGGTATTAGGCAGAAGAATTCGTCGGCACTAGATATGGCAAATATAGTGTAGTCGTTATGTTTTTATTTATTCTTTTTGCTTTAACTCATAAGTTCTAAGAGTTCGTATCCACACATAACTATTAGGAAAACCTGTTGTTTGTGTTTTTTAACATACAATTGACTTATTTAATAACTAATACTCATTGGAGGCAGGTGAGCTAGAGTTTCAAGCAAATAAAAATACATAGAAGGAAAAATACATAAACAATGAACAAAGTTATAAATAAAAATAAAATAGAAATTTCCATTAGACTTGTTTATTTGATTGTAATTAAACACAAAGGTAAACAATGGACTATCTGTGCTCTGCCCACCACGAGTATCGAAACCCGGATTCTAGCGTTGTAAGTCCGCAGACATGCCGCTGTGCCTCTGGGGGCTTCCGTTAGACAGTGGTGTGATTAATGCAATTGAATTTAGTCTGACAAGAATTTTAAAAACAAAACAAAATAAAAGTTATACATTTAGACTCGAAATTTCAATGATAAATCAGAGTATTATCTTAAAGTTATATATTCTCTCTCTCTCTTTATTTTTATAAATAAATATATAGAGAGAGGTGTAGGAGGCAACTTAAAGGTGGTGGGCCCGAGGTTTAATTGGCCGAGCCAAAAGTGTACCCATTACGGCCAGGGTACAGGGATCGCCATAATTAAGGCCCTGGGAGCTCTTGGATTTTGGATTAAATTTTATGCACTCTCCTCCTTTTCCTGAAAGTAATTTTCTTAGTGTTAATACATTTTTACTGGGACAGATTGAAAATTGGGGCCAGCCCTCCACGCTTCTTACGCCACTGATATAACACCAATGGAATAAATACGTAAATTTATATATTCAATATATTACTATTTCTTCCTTACATATGATGCCTCATTTGCAGAGGGCGTTCTCTTGTATTTTGATGTTCAGATATTGCCATTTAATTTATTGATAATTTTCCTGCACAGTAGTACTACTAATGTTTGGCAGTGTGTAGCTGTAAGTAAATTACTAAGAAAAAATAAGTTGATTTTGAAACTAAGATGACATTATACTGTCGTTCAAATTATGTTATTCTGTATTGAAATAAGTTGTAAAACCAGGCTAAACATCTTATTTCACTTCTAAAAATAAGTAAAATAGTTAAAAATAAAAGTTATTTGGAATATGGTCCATCAGTTTGTAAATTGTTTTGCTTACTGCTAGTACAAATGGCAATAGGATTGGTAGGTTAGCCTTAAATTAAGGCTTAATACTAGTACTACTACAACTGGGAAAGCTAGCCCGTCTGCAGACAGACACCATTTTCACATTACATCTAGTGTCCTAAACAGATTTTATTTAAACTTCATACTAAATCACAACTCACTTCTGTTCTGGGATTGGGGAAGTTTGAACTTTATTTTTGGGTTAAGAGGTGAAGGTCGCCATTTAAAAAATAGAAATTTGGTGTTTGAACAGAAGAAAACATAACAAAGTAAATACACATTCCTTATTTATCAGTACCAAGATGGGAAAAAGAAAGATAATAGTAGGTGGGATTAGTTAATTTCTGTTAGCATTTTAAGTTTTTTATTTCACTTTGATGCTAGGCATATCTTAGTGGTTAGCATGCCCTGGCTGCGAGTCTGAGAGTTCGTGATTTGCATGCTATTGCTACAAAAGTGTGCTTCTTTTTGGGGCAGTATGTATACTATAGTATAAGAGTAGCAGTTAGGTTATGTGCCATTTGTCATTTATTTGCCAAGTGATCAAAATCCATTTGTAAAATAACAGCATCCTCTTCACAGCCAACTACTCCCAAAACTTTAATATAGGCAAACTTGACCATTTTGTTGACCAATCCTTCATCAATATCATTAACATATACAAAAAAAAGAGTAAGGGCAGCAGCACAAAGCCTTGAGGTTCCACACTTGAAATATCAATTCAGTTTGACTGAACTATATTTATGCTCTGATAAGACAATTTTTGTAGCAAGGTAATTCACTTATATGTATTGCCATAAGCTGGAATAGAGGCCAGCACAGGAGCTTAAGAGGTGAATTAATGATTTCTTGCATAGTAAAGGGTGTGCTTAAATTTGTACTTATCCCAAGGATGTTTGTGCAATAGCATCCTTGAAGGGGTAAATTGTTCCATGTTGTCCATAGGTTATGTTAAACCACTTTTAATTTTATTCATACTTCACACCTAAAAAATGTCAAATTTCATATACTGATTAT